TCCTCCATATGGTAGAATCTCTTTGAAACTCTACACCTTTTCTTGGTACTATCACTCTTAGGTCCCTGAAGCAGAACAACTTCCCCCATAAAAATAATCTGGACTCCTAATGTTGTTGTTGCTTTGTTAGGTGCCATTGAGTCAGCTCTGACTCATAGTGACCCTGTGTACAACAAAATGAAACACTGGTCTGTCCTGTGTTGGTCTCATAATCCTTGCTATATCTGAGCCCATTGTTGCAGCCACTGTGTCAATCCATCTTGTTGAGGGCCTTCCCCTTTTTTGCTGATCCTCCACTTTACCAAACATGATATCCTTCTCCAGGTAATGTTCTCTTCTGACAACATGACCAAAGTAGGTGAGACAAAGTCTGGCCATTCTGGCGTCGAAGGAGCATTCTGGCTGCACTTCTTCCAGGATAGATTTTTAGTTCTTCTGGCAATCCATGGTACTTTCAGTAATCTTGGCCAACACCACAACTCAAAAGCATCAACTCTCCTTTGGTCTTCCTTATTCATTGTCCAGCTTTCACAAGCTTATTAGGCTATTAAAAATACCATGGCTTGGGTTAGGCGCACCTACGTCTTCAAAGATATATCTTTGCTCTTTAGCACTTAGAGGTCTTTTGCAGTGGATTTGCCCAGTGCAATGTTATCTGATTACTTGAATTCTACTTCCATTGGTGTTGATTATGATACCAAGTAATATGAAATCTTTGACAACTTCAATCTTTTCTCCATTTATCATGATGCTGCTTACTGGTCTAGTAGTTGTGAGGACTTCCGTTTTCTTTCTATTGAGGTGTAATCCATACTGTAGACTGTAGTCTTCAGTCTTCATCACTAAGTGCTTCAAGTCATCCTCACTTTCAGCAAGCAAGGTTGTGTTTGTCTGCATGTCGCAGGTTGTTAATGAATCTTTCTCCAATCCTGATGCTGCATTCTTCTTCATATAGTCCAGCTTCTTGGATTATTTGCTCAGCATACAGGTTGAATATGTATGGTGAAAGAATAGAATCCTGACATACTCCCTGCCAGATCTTGAACTATGCAGTATCTCCCTGTTGTGTTTCAACAACAGACTCCTGGTCTATGTACAAGTTCCTCATGAGCACAATTAAGTGTTCTGGAATTCCCATTCTTTTTAATGTTATCCATAATTTGTTATGCCCCACACAGTGGATCATAGTTAGTAAAACACAAGTAAGTATCCATCTGGCATCAACAATGATATCCCCTTGTTTCACGTTCTCTTCTGAATCCAGATTGCATTTCTGGAAATACCTTGTCAATGTGCTGCTGCAATCACTTTTGAATTATCTTCAGCAAGATTTTACTTGTATGTGATATTAATGACATTGTTCAATAATTTCCACATTCTGTGGGATCACTTTTCTTTGGGATGAGTACAAATATGGATCTCTTCCAGTCAGTTGGCCAAGTAGCTGGCCACCACTCATCTGTCAGTTTGTCATACTCTGGTGGCTTATGTGTTGCTGTGATGCTGGAGGCTATGCCACTGGTATTTGAAATACCAGCAGGGTCACCCATGTTGGACAGGTTTCAGCAGAGCTTCCAGACTAAGACAGACTGGGAAGAAGGAAGGGCCCATCTACTTCTCAAAGAATTGGCCAGTGAAAATCTTATGAATAGCAGTGAAACACTGTCTGATATAGTACTAGAAAACATTATGAGTCTGACTTGACGGCACATAACAACAACAACAACAAGCCCTGAAACATTGTTCGATATAATGCTGGAAGATAAGCCCCTGAGGTCAGAAGGCACTCAAAATACAACTGAGGAAGAGCTGCCTCCTCAAAGTAGAGTCGACCTTAATGATGTGGATGTAGTAAAGCTTTCGGGACCTCCATCTGCTGATGTGGCATGACTCAAATGGGAAGAAACAGTTGGAAACATCCATTAATAATTGGAACATGGAATGTACTAAGCATGAATCAAGGAAAATTGGAAGTTGTCAAAAATGAAATGGAACACAAAAGATTGATATCCTAGGCATTAGTGATCTGAAATGGACTGATTTTAGCCATTTTGAATCAGACCACCATATGATCTACTATGCCAGGAATGACAAATTGAAGAGGAATGGCATAGCATTCTTCATCACAGAGAATGTTTCAAGATCTATCCTGAATTACAATGCTGTCAGTGATAGGGTAATATCCATATGGGGACTTGTAATGAGCTCAGAGTTTTTTAGGGGGTGATGAAAATTAAATGGTGGTGATGGTTGTGCAACTTGGCAATATACTACAAATCACTGAATTACACACTTTAAAAGTATACCTTTTATGGTATGTGAATTTTATCTCAACTTTTAAAAAAGTCATGGGACACTAAGACCTATGTAAAAACATAAAATGTTGCAGCAAAAATGCCTCTAAAAGACTATATTGGCTTTCTGCCCAAGTGCTTTCTCTCTCTGCATGTTCTGAGTTCATGTTGACTGTTGTGTGTGTGTGTGTGTTGGGGCTAGAGCAGCTTTCATAGAATTTCATTCATGTTATTTCTGTTGGTGTGACCTTGGTCCAGTTATTTACTTGTCTTTGATTTCACAGTTAAAACAAAGGTAATGAGCCTGACCTACTTGATGAAGATCCCTTGGGAAATAAAAATCCAGTTAAGTGATATAGAGGTAGGAGGTGCTGGATGCCTTCTGAATAATTACAGGAAGGGCTGAAGTGGCACCCAGACATGTGAGGAATAAATCTCAGGCTGGGTTGAAGTAGTATTGGCTGGAGGCTGGGCATGTGTTGTTCTGGGTGATTTAATTATTCCATTAGGTGCTCTATTAGGAGCCATTATTGTTTGTGAGTTTTATGTCTGTGGTGAGAAGGAGAAGTTGTTTGGTTTCTGCTGCTATGATGGCAAATGGACTTGGAGAAGAAGGGTGTGTTTCCCTGGAGGCATCTGCTGGGTGCTTGATGTGGTGAAGGCATCATGAGTGATTGGAAAGGATAAGTGCCGTTGAGCAGGATTTGTGATTGGAAGGCTTGCAGGTGAAGTGTTGCACGTGTTCGGTTTCTCAACCTGGAAATCTGGAAAGGCCTTCTTAGCAGAAAGGTGAACTACAGAAAACCAGGACCAAAGGCAGGGAAGCTTCCGTTTTCATACCCTCCATGTACCGCAGCTTCTGGATACTTGTGTCTGACCATCACTTCCTGGATGATGGATAGCTTATCAGAACGATGGCTGAGTCCACTATGGGATTAGAGAGAAGAGCTAAGGAGGAAGATGAACTCAGATCACCTTTTCTTTGCAAAGTCGTCTTCCCCATTCATATTCTCAAGTTTACTCTTCTCATTGGTCTGTAGAATGATAGCATATGATAGGGAATGATATTGATGTTTTTTGGGGACAGTGTAGTCATCTGTGGCTCATAGAAATCCTACTAACTGACCTGTTCTGTTCTGAGGGAGCAGTCATTATTCTTCTTCATTTCTTCTCATGTTATTCTCCTATTAGTGTCTGGTGTCCTTTCCCTACTTTTGTAACTATTGGAAGGAAGTTCACTCATCCTTCAAGGCCCTGCACCAATGATACCATCCCCTGAGAAGTCTACTGCCCTTCTCTATACATCCCCACAAAACTTTGTCATGCATCTGGTGTAACATTTGCCACATTTACTCATTCACTCATGGTGAGCTGATTTGGAGAACTTACCAAGGGCCTCATTTACGTTATCATTTCAGTGCTGAGAACAATGCCTGGCACATAATAAATAAAGAAAGAAGAATATTATTTGTGCCCTCCCACAAATAGTGAAGAATATTTATAAACTCCATAAATACTTAAAATTGCTTTCCTCTTTATGTCTCCAGTACTTGATGAGAGTACTATTCTAAATGTGTCTTGTTAAATCTTTTTTATGTCTGTGGATTTTTTTTTTTTTCTTTTTTTGGTCAAAGATGATAAATTTTGAGAGAAGAAGCCATGCCTTTTTTTAAAATAAAGTTTTTGGAAAGCAATGGGTTGAAAAGTGGATTCAGCAGAATACTCGTTCCCTAGGGTGACAATTGTTGTTAAGCAAAGAAAACGGTTTGAGGGGCAATGAAGTTCAGGAAAGGCTAGGTTAATCAGATTTCTCTACTGTGGGATGTCTGAAAGCTTAGAAATTATATGTTTTAGGAGTAAAAGAGAGAGGGAGCATATACACAGTGTATTTTTTCAATACTAGATTATTACCTACTACAGTGCAAAGCACATAGTAGGTTTCTGGTGTTTTGTTATTAATTTGTTGACAGTAGTTCAATGCCTTGATTTAAAGCCCTAAGAAGCAGATTAATGCTAGTCTCTGTGCTAATGGCCCAATTCTTTACCATGTTCGTGTGTCTCACCACTATTCTCTGCAAAAGTGAAGGGAAAAATGAAAGAGAATTAGAAAAAAAATTACTTTACCTGTCACACAAAGTTATCAGACATCTCCAATAGACTATGAGCCAAATGTTTATGGTTTTCAAAATAACCTGTCAGCCCCAGTTGCTCTGCAGTAACCTCCCAGGACTGTTCCATAAATGCCAGTTCTCTGCACAGTAATTACCAACACTCTTCTTGGTAAATTCACTGGTGTGTCTAGAAGTAATTGCTGGGGAACTTATACTTTCAAATTTACAAGAGACAAACAACCTTGTATTTACCTTGGGGCTATCAGGTATTCAAACTGTGCTGTGTGAAGGATGCTATTGATCATAGAAATAAGAGGAAGAACTTGAATTTTCACATTAGTATTTTTCTCAGTGAGTGAGAGCCTGGCTCACTAGATTTAGGGTGGAAAGACCTGTGGTGGATAATTCATTTCTTCTCAGTGTCTCTTCCCTTCTTTGAGATTTCAAGCAGCAGTAAGCCTGACCTAACTGCAATTGGAATCTTTTATTGCCTTCAGCTTAAACCTATTAATCGGTACCAGTGTACAGGAAGAGAAAGATGGAAAATTTGGTTTAATCTGAATTCTCATCTGAGCCTTTGGTGTTTGTCTTGTAGAGATCTCAGGGAACACGGAGGACATCCCTCTAGTACGCTGGAGGCAACAGTGGCTGGAGAATGGCACTTTACTTTTTCACATCCATCACCAAGATGGTGCTCCGAGCCTTCCTGGACAAGACCCAACAGAAGAGCCCCAGCACGAGTCAGCAGAAGAGGAGCTGAGGATCCTCCACATCTCTGTTATGGTAAGAACAGCTTGTCTTTGGCTTCTCAGATAACAGGTTCTGATACCTTGATGTTAAAAGTCTTGGTACATTACATCACATGAGATTACACTATGGAATGCAGTCCATTTTACTTATGGGCAACTGATCTAATGACATTTAACCACTCCACAACAGCAGCTAGACTTGTGTTTAGACAAAAAACTGGGAACCATAGCCTAGCCAAATTGATATATAAAATTAGCCATTATAGTACCCTAGACAAAGCTCTACAATGACCTAAATCCGTAATCACCATTGACCATATTAATAAGTAAATTTCCCAAAGTATCTTAGTGTAGGCAACATTCTAAAAGCACAGAATATACTCAGTGGCAAAATAAATTCACTGGGGTGCAAATAAAATTTGCAGCTGTTTTTATAGCATCATTACCAAACTATTTGATCTAAGCATGGGCCCAGACATGGAATGATTTTTTTTTCTTTTTAAATAAAACAGAAGTAACATCTAATGGGGGCAATGTATTGTCTTAGATTGAAATTATTCAACTACTAGATTAGAATATTTGATAATAGTTCCATAATTGTTTGAATTATTTGTTCCCTGAATCTCTAAGCTGCTTGCTTCAACCAAGCTTTTCTCTCTTTGCCAGGTCAGAGAAAGTAAGAATCCTGGCTTTCTCTTCTCTTACAATAAAGGGAATGTCAGTAGATACTTGCCGTTTCTTCAAGTCCAGCTTAGAAAGTTCACAATCAGAATCCCTTCTGTCATCCTGAAATTTGAGGGCTCAAGAAAATTAGAAGAGTGGGAGGGAGGGGGAAAGGGAGCATTTTTGTTTAGGGGGCAGTGAGGTTATGTTCACGGTGGTGGAATAATTTGGAAAAAGAGAATAGTTGAAGGATGTAATCAATGTCACTGAACTATACATGTAAAAACTGTTGAATTGGTGTATGTTTTGCTGTGTGTATTTGCAGTACAGTTAAAAAAGAAAGAGAAAGAAAATTAAAACGAAAAGAAAATTAGAAGATTCTTCCTAAAATTTTAGGAACTCTTGTTCTGGCGTTTGACTACTAACCAGAAGGCTGGTGATTCAAACCCACCAGCCACTGCTCAGAAGGAAGGTTGGGCAATCTACTTCCCCAGTGAAACTGCCTTGGAAACCCAAGGAGGGGTCGCTATGAGTGGGATCTGACTCAATGGCAGTGAGTTTGGGTTTTTGGTTTTGGTTCTAGACTCTCACTAGAAAGTAAGTATGATGGCAATCAGGGGTTTTTGTTACATTTGTTTTATTTAATGCTTAATAAATATCTGTGGAATGAATGGGCGAATTTCCCAGTTAAGATGGAAAATATCTGTTGTATTTGGTTCAAACCAATACACCATCTGCTCACAGAGTAGCCTGATATCAGATGAGATGTGGCAGTGATTATTCATTGGCCATACGTATGGAGGCTATAGGATATTTCACTGTTAGTAAACTCAGCAGAGAACCAATCCAGTCTTTTCTATTTTAATTTATCGTGTTTTTGTTTTTGTTATTAATTACACTGGGGCAGCTGAGCACATGCTAAATTATGTGTGTGTGTGTGTGTGTGTGTGTATAATTTACTATCCAAAAGTTAGAAGCTCTGGTGGCGTAGCGCCTACAGCATTTGAAAGCCAAGCAGAAGACTGGTTGTTCAAACCCACCAGCCACTCCTCAGAAGGAAGATTGGGCAATCTGCTTCCATAGTGATATCATCTCGGAAACCAAAGGAGGGGTCGCTATGAGTCAGATCCAACTCAACAGTAATGAGTTTTTAGAGTTTATCCAAAAGTTGGAATAGAAAATCTCCCAATAAAAGTTGTCAAAATGTGTTTCATTTCCTCCTCAACCAATGTCATCATGAGCCCTTGCTTGGTAAGTTTCCTTCATATATACATGCTGTGTTATTTAAACTATATGATGGAGTTCTTTCACAGCAAATGGTAAGCCACAATGTCTAGATAAGGTCAGAAGGCAGGCAGATAATTGACATTGCTCTGCATTACATTTATGAATTAATTGGAAATTTAAATCAGGAAAGTTACAGTACTTGTATATCCTTAATCAAAGCCCTGTGTTTCTTCTATAAGGGAATGTTACCTTCTTCAACATAACTGTTAGTTTCAGGAAAGTGGTGAGCTTGGGCAGATCAGCTGAATTGGTCTTGGCACCAATTGAGGTGACAGATGTGGAGGACAGATTGTCTTCACATTTATAATATGATCTGATTGAAAAGAAGGGAGCAAAAGTGAATTTCCCACAAGCCATCCATGTCCTCCCACCAATGTGGAAAACAGTAATGGCCATCGTAGTAGTATTTTGGTGGGGGAAGGAGTCTATGGCTATTTCAAGGAACCAGTTTTTGTCTCACTGAATAAATGTTTAGGGTTGAGAAAAGTACATAGAAATTCCAATGAGTAATACTGCTAAAGGGAAGATCCTGAATAGAAGAGTTAACAGCAGGTAATATGGCAGAAGCACGTGTAGTTAGGGTTTGGGAGGGTGGACAGTGTGAAGATCAAAGGAAGGCAAACACAGTCTGAAGTTTGTCAGTAGCAAGTTGTTGTCCTACTTGCTGCATTGTATCTTCAGTATAGTGAGGAGACAGACACTTTTTATCCTCAAAATGAAGATTAAGTTCCATAGAAATAAGTTCCCTAGAAAAGGATGTGTATGTCAGTGTGTGTGCATGTTAGTGGGAGTAAGTGGTTTTGAAGAGAGAAATATACAGATCAAGAATGCCAAAGGATTTGAGAAAATAGGTTGTGCCCTTAAAATATAACATCCCTATGAGAAGCCCTACATTAGTAATTTTTTTTTTTTTTTTTTAATGACATCCCTGGGTAGCTGACTGGGCAAGGATTACTGGATAGTGGATACTGGAATTGAGAGAGAACAAAAAGTGAGCTTTAAGCTATCCCTGAGATCTTCTCTTCATCCATGGAAGTTATCCATGGCAGACCACCAGTGACATTCTATTTCCACATAAAATAGAAGAGATTATTTCTTCAGCTTAATTTAGTTTATTTTATTATATTTCCAACTAAGCTGAAGGAGGCAAAGATGCAAAGGACATCTGTACAGGATGAGAGTGAGAAAGTCTTGTATTTGTCTCTAGCTTGATCTTTTGGGTGTGGATGAGCCCACATCTCCCATGAAGATTTCTGGAAGGCCTTTAGCTTCTGCAAAAGAATAAACATCCCAGGGTGAACTGAAAATATGAGTACTACAATGGAGTCTACCTCAGCCCACTTTGCCTTCTGACTTCCTCTTTTCCTATTCCATGGCACACAGCCTCACACACTGCCTTTCCCATCCTTAAGATTCTATTCTAGAAACAGTTTCAAAGTCTGAAGTTGTCTATCTTCCCTCAGCTTAGAAATCAAGCCGGAGGGTATCTATTTGAAGATGCCGTTCCTAGAGTCTCTGATGATTCCTTCTGAAGAAACTCAGGGATTGGTAGACTTTATTTGATACACTTTACACCATATCCTTTGGAGGTAAAAGAGGAAGCCATTTGAGGCATCTGGAATGGCAGCATAGCAAAAGTCAGAGATAGCAAAATCCTTTGACTAATAACAGTGGTGTGCAGTAAATGCACTTAGATGAATATTGTTACCCAGACCCTGTTGGTTATGAAATAACAATAGCTGGGCTATTTTTCATTAACTGTGATGATCAATATTGATGTGGTTTTCAGTTTGGTTCAAAATAGCATAATTTGAAAAAGAATTATTTTCAAAACATGAATACACCCAGCTTTTTCTTTCTTGTTAAGAAAATGTATATTTAAAAGCTTAACTGATAATCCTAAATATTTCCAATATGTGCAGAAGGAATTAATGGTTCTGTGAAAACCTTAAAGCTTACATTTCTCTCATTTTGTATTTACAGTTTTCTCATCCATATTGCCTTAATGCAAGGACCACTGTTTATTTTTACATTTTGCATGTGCTATCTTTTGTTTTAAACACAAAATATAAATAGTATAAGTAGTGAGAAAATGAGAGGCAAAGGTAAACCTTTTTTGTATCCTATGACATGGTATGAATGAGAATTTGTAAGTCCTGTCTTGCACTATACCCAATATAAATATACCATTAGCAAAATCGTGGACTTGCAGAAAACCAATACCCTGACTGGTAACTTGAGCAATTTAAAACTTTGAAAAACCTTTTGCTTTTGTTATTTTTCAATCACATCTTAAAATTTTTGAGTTATTTTTTTCAAAGAGGCAGTATTTCTTCCTTGCGTAGAATAATTGGATTTCCCTCCTGAAATCTTTATATTATTGCTTTGAGGGTCAACTGATGTATTTTAACCTCTTGCATGATTCAAACTTGGCTGAAGAGATTTATTTCAAATTTTCAAGATAATTGACATTTAGAACTCCAGCAGTACACAGGATACTTTTTTTTACAAACTCTTGAATTGAAAGCAGAATCATCAAATGAAAACTGATGTGTGACTTTAAATCAAATTAAAGGAAATCTTCAGTTATAGGGCAAATTGTTTACTCCTTAGAAGGCCAAGATTAAATATGATTTTACATTAGATATTAGATTGTGTATAGATTTAAATTTACATATTCTACTTTTGCTAATTTACCACAGGATCTACATTTTTCATCTTACAGCATGTGAAAGAATTTAATGGTGCATAATAGAATGGTAATGTATTATCTATATAGATCATCTTTATAATTAAAAATGGCAGTGCTAAGTTTTCCTATATGCATAAGCTGGTTAAGTACATTTCTCCCAGCAAGAAGCCTTTCAAAATGATTTAATTCTTTTTTTTTTTTTTCCCCATAGTGATAATTGCCACTGGTAGAGAAGTTCTTTTGTAGTTCACCTTTTCTTTTCTTTTTTTTAAGATTTGTGTGAAAGTTTACAGAGCAAATTCATTTTCCATACAGCACTTCACATACACTTTGTCTCATGACATTGACTGCAATCTCCCACATTGCAACTGCTCTCTTCCCACTTTCTCCCC